GGAGAGAATAGGAAAATAGAAAGAGGAAGGCTGCAGCTAAATCTTCCCAGTCTCTCGATACATGGGTCAGTAAAGTACCCCGTCAAGAGCAATCAGATGCTGACAATAACAGTGCAGTCTGCGATGACAGCCCAGCTGAAACCACGACTGCAGACCTTTCTCAGTTGACTACAGTTTTACAGCGAGATGATGGTAAATCATACTTATTTTCGCAATGTCCACCAGTCTTGATCCCATTATTATGCTCTGAGGTTTAGTGGCTGTTCCTCGATAGGAAACAAACTCGCTTAATAAAAAGCCAGTGAGGGAACACAGAGTGATAATTCGGAGAGGGACTGGGAGGGTTAATCTAAAGCAGCAATCCACAGGCATCCCAAACAATCAAAATAAAAGTTTTCGAGACGCAAAGAGGGAAAATACATTTTATGTTTCTCTTGGTCTCTTATCGTCATTTCCTGATGTCATGACAATATTCGACAAATGTAATATTCAGTTCCTACCGCGTATATTTTGCCGTTACAATTTCTCATGTATTGCTACTTTCCTAAATAAACGGATCAGACAATAAAAAATACATTTCGGTAGTTTGGTCCACTTTGGCCTCGTTAGCACCCCCCCACATAAAATCCTGGTTACGGGCCTGCACAATCAGTGTTTATGCTGAGATCTTTTTCTTTTTCAAGTGGGAATGAACGGTTGAATCAGATTAAACTAAATTTAATTCGATAATGTTAATCAAATGCCTAAAATGTCAAAATATTAAAGATAATTCTCAGGTAAAATAATGTCAACTGGAGTATTTTTGAAGAAGGAGGAATATAAAAGATGAAGCTTCTTCAGTGTACTGGGAAAAACGGGTGAAAGTCGGTGAAGCTCGTCACGTGTATATTACCGGAAGTAGACCCTTGGCACACTCCTATGCAAATGAGATTAGTTGAAGTGAACGGATCCACGAGCAAGCAACTTTGCTTTGTTGACAGTTAAACTACCGAGCTTTATTTTATAGACGGCTTTTTTAAGGTCCAGGGTTCTCAAAATTTTTAACAAACATGAGATGTTAACTTGAAAACATTAGAGAAAACAGAGGGATGAAGAAATTACCAGAAAGCTGTCACGCACCTCCAACGCACACATTCCAGCGGACTTCATGACTACGGTAACATAGGTGATAAGACGGCAAAATGAAACAACTTGGAGCTTAAAGTACAACAGATACAGGTTAAGGTGAGCTTTTTAAAAAAATTGTTCTACATATCAAGGCTACCAGCGTTGTAAACGGAAACCTAAAGTCAAATTGTTGGTGGTGGTCGTGTGACTCATGTGTTGGATGCCGTTATTTTATGTTGTCTGTAACACGAATTTGAAATAATTTCTGAGAAGCTCAAAATGATTTCCCCAAAATAATTTTAACATAACACAATAGTTTGATGCTTGTAGAATTTTCCCTTTCAATCTTGAAAAATTCTGATCAAAGGCACATGACGAAAATCGTCGCTTTTTTCAACTACCTTCCGTGGTTGAACAACAGGTACACATACGCTTTAGCTTTTTTATAATTACTCAGAGTGTTGTAATGCTAAAGATATTATATATTTTGGTCAACGACGAGTTGTACTTACAAGTTTAGCAACAAGCTTTTTTTCTAGGCCGGTGGTTTTGAAATGCAAGTCGAGCGAATCATAGTGAATTTCAACCCTGTTTTCGGTTTGCGAAATCGACGGCGGGGCTTGAAACGGTTTTCTTGTTTTTCTCGGAAACGAACAGATCTTTCGAAGAAAAAACTACTTGGCGTTTGTACACTTACTAAAGTCTATCAGTATGCAAAAGAAGAGCGATTTTTATTTTTTGAGCCTTGCCGCACTTTGGTCGATATTTGCATGGAGTTGCTCTTATGAACTCACTGGTTTTCTTCTCCGCTGCTCTCGCTGAAGTTCAGGTCGCCGTTCTTTAAGTGTTAAATATTCCATGGCAAGGATTTCCAGTCTCGTGTTCCTCTAGCCTGTTCTCTGTCTTTTGTTGTCAGCGTTGCCTTCGCTGTTGTAAGCGATGTTCTCTCTGCTTCGCGGTTTCTTGTTGACGTCTTCTTTCCTTCGTTGTTCACGCTGAATTTCAAGTCGTCGTTCTCACTCCAGAGGAGTTTCGGTGGAAAATCTTCCTCGGCGAGGAATTGCAGCCACTTGTTGTGCTTGCTATTCAACGTCATTTATATGGGAGATTGTTTATGATTCACCGATCGTAAACATTGTTTCACAGACACATCAGCCTGCCATGAATAAGTGAATAAAACATAAAAATGTGCCCAAGTCTATGTTGCCTGGAAACCTAAAATGCTTCATGACGTAACGCTACATTACGTCATTGGCGGACACCAAGCATATATTCGTGGTAAGTAAGAAAGATAGATCGAAATATGGGGCACCCAATTTTGCAGCTGGCTAAGACCCCGAGCGGTTCACGTGCTCTGCGCGAGCTACGAGATTATAAACTCTCTTCTCTCGCCGCTTTGCGCCTCGCCTCGCAAACAACAACAACAACATTAAATGCATTAC